GCGGGCGGGCGGGCGGGCGTGCGTGCGTGCGTGCGTGCGTGCGTGCGTGCGTGCGTGCGTGCGTGCGTGTCTCTTTGCCAACGAATAATGGCCATTGGCGTTTCCCCAGCACTCGTTTGACTCTCTGCTCGAGTCTTAGAGCCAAGCATGGCTCAGAGCAGTCCGCAGCGCGTCCACCGCTGGGAGCCGCATGCGGCTGCAAATGCACCAGGCGCCACATTGCCCCTGCCCAAGCCCGAACCACTTGCATAAAAACATAGTGTTGACCCAGGACTCCTACCTTCCAACAATCATGCAAGTCGACCTTGGGGGCTTCCCCAAAAGGAAAGCAGTCTTCCATCAAATCATGACTGGATCAAGGGGGCGATATAAGCCCCCCAGCAACGAATTCGCGCTTACATGAGACACCCCCCATAAGTAACCCAGTCGATCCTTCCCTGGGCTCCATTACCCAGATCACCCGGCTTGTTGTTTTGTCGAAACCTAGGCAGCCATCAAGCATCCGAATTGTCCGCTCAATATGCGGTCCGCTCAATATGCGGAGTGTGCAGGGCAGATTTGCAGCTGAGTGCTGCTTTGTAGTTCATGCAGGAAAAAATGTGGCTGTGTACCACCACAAGGATGAACTTGGCCTCTGCTGAAGTTTATTGTCCTTCAGCTTTGAGGTATTTCCATCTCAGAGAATTGCACCTGAATCCATTAAAGATCTGATGCGCCGTGCAAGTAGCCAAAACCTGCAGCTTGAATTGCAATCTGTGATCATGCCATGATGTTCATGGGCTGGCAGAATTCCGCAGCAAAGCGCACTGCTAGGCTGCTCAAAATGAGGATTTACACGAGCGGCACGACTTTCAATTGTCACTTATCACCTATTGCAAACTCTTGATACACTCAGCCGACCCGTGCCGGTTCACCAACCATCATGCGTGGCCCAGGTCATTCAAGGAGAATGAGCAAAGGCTCACGTCTGCATGGTTAGACCAACACTGGCTGTGTCTCGTTGAAGTCTGCATCAAGAGCAGCCGTCTCGTTGGTTGCGTTGCTGTCTGCCAGGCGTCGACCATTCTCACCTCACATACCCCTCCGGTGGGTATTTTCAGACTGCGGAGCGACCAATCCCCCAAACGACAAGATAAGGGGTGCCCAATCCAACTAGGACAACTTGGAGTGTGAGAGGGTCCAAGGTTGGTCCAATGAGCCGATCCAAGACGACCCGCAAATACGACTATGACATCGACTAGGACGGGTACTTCAACCCATGACCCTTCATCAGACCCCTGTTCTACACTGAAACAATAGTCAAGCCCGGCTAATGTCTGAATCAATACCTACAACGTCGCATGGCTGCCACTCGACAAAGGTTTCACATCAAATACATGCACAGTTGGCCGCACCTAGGCTGACGTAGACTCGGCCAAGCTCGGAAAGTCCACCATTCCAGTCCACCAGGCCGGCGTCCGGATTGGGATTGGTGATACCATACGACCACCTAGCCACAAACACACTGCGAGCCACTGCCTTAACATGTGTGTGAAAGCATAGCCTGGACCGTCACAGGTGTGTCATATTTGCCGCTGGGTCACTCGTGCGTGAAGTAGCTGAACCAAGCATACTTCTCAACGACATCTTCCTGCTCCAGCCACGGAACAACCTCTTTCATGAATTTGATCTGGCCCTGCATTGAGACGTCCACTCCAGGAGCTGCGCAAGCAAACTCGGTGAGCCAAATCTTCTTGCCGAAGCGCTTGTAGCTGTTGATGAGGTTCTGCACGCCCCCCAGGCTGCACCAGTAGCTGTGGATGGCAATAGCATCCACGCGGCACCCCTTGCAAGCATCCAGGAATTGCTGCATCCAGGCCATACCCTTGCCAATGTCACCGCACATCGCCGGGCTAACCAGCTTCTGCACGCCGAGGTTGCGAGCAACACGCTCCACCTCCGGCCACATGGCTGCCGCATGCCAGGGGTTCATGTGCGCCTGCGTGTGGATGTCAGGCTCGTTGAAGCCGAGCAAAGCCCGGAAGTTGCCACCTCCGCCCCAGCGCGGGAAGCCGCCATCATGCACCATTGGGAAGAAGTCCATGCCTGCGTGGTGCCACTGGCTGCGCGGAGATATTTGCCAGTTGTAGCCCCAGGACACACCCTGCTTCAGTGCGTGCAGCTGGTGTTCGGCCAGGTTGGCCTTTGCGATGCCTCTTTTGCTGCTCCTTGCTGCAACCAGGCAAGGAGTTAGCAGGAGCACCAGAATTCGCAGCATCTCCATTGGGTGTTGTGCTAGCGGCAAAGATGCAGGGAAGCTTTAAGAGCCTAAACGCGCGTATCACGCTCATCATGCCCTCATTGAAGGAGTCGATTCTGAAGCCGACTACCGCATTGTATCCGCATTCCACAAAGAACCCAACGCAAGGGACTGCAAAGTACAGGAAACCACACAACTGCCGACTGTCTTCGATAAATGTTTGTCCCATCGGGCTGCAGTCAAGCACACGTCAGGGCAGCCAGTCCCCCCTCTCAGACGCATCCAATGCAAGCACAATGCAAGAACCAACTCAGCACTAAAATTATCTCCAAATATTGTGAATGCTCAGACGCAAACTATTGCAATACTTAGGGCCACCGCAGCATATTTTAGCTCGAAAACAAGGCATCCATCAAGCATCCGAATTGTCCGCTCAATATGCGGTCCGCTCAATATGCGGAATGTGCAGGGCAGATTTGCAGCTGAGTGCTGCTTTGTAGTCCATCCAGAAAAATGTGGCTTTGTACCACCACAAGGATGAACTTGGCCTCTGCTGAAGTTTATTGTCCTTCAGCTTTGAGGTATTTCCATCTCAGAGAATTGCACCTGAATCCATTAAAGATCTGATGCGCCGTGCAAGTAGCCAAAACCTGCAGCTTGAATTGCAATCTGTGATCATGCCATGATGTTCATGGGCTGGCAGAATTCCGCAGCAAAGCGCACTGCTAGGCTGCTCAAAATGAGGATTTACACGAGCGGCACGACTTTCAATTGTCACTTATCACCTATTGCAAACTCTTGATACACTCAGCCGACCCGTGCCGGTTCACCAACCATCATGCGTGGCCCAGGTCATTCAAGGAGAAAGAGCAAAGGCTCACGTCTGCATGGTTAGACCAACACTGGCTGTGTCTCGTTGAAGTCTGCATCAAGAGCAGCCGTCTCGTTGGTTGCGTTGCTGTCTGCCAGGCGTCGACCATTCTCACCTCACATACCCCTCCGGTGGGTATTTTCAGACTGCGGAGCGACCAATCCCCCAAACGACAAGATAAGGGGTGCCCAATCCAACTAGGACAACTTGGAGTGTGAGAGGGTCCAAGGTTGGTCCAATGAGCCGATCCAAGACGACCCGCAAATACGACTATGACATCGACTAGGATGGGTACTTCAACCCATGACCCTTCATCAGACCCCTGTTCTACACTGAAACAATAGTCAAGCCCGGCTAATGTCTGAATCAATACCTACAACGTCGCATGGCTGCCACTCGACAAAGGTTTCACATCAAATACATGCACAGTTGGCCGCACCTAGGCTGACGTAGACTCGGCCAAGCTCGGAAAGTCCACCATTCCAGTCCACCAGGCCGGCGTCCGGATTGGGATTGGTGATACCATACGACCACCTAGCCACAAACACACTGCGAGCCACTGCCTTAACATGTGTGTGAAAGCATAGCCTGGACCGTCACAGGTGTGTCATATTTGCCGCTGGGTCACTCGTGCGTGAAGTAGCTGAACCAAGCATACTTCTCAACGACATCTTCCTGCTCCAGCCACGGAACAACCTCTTTCATGAATTTGATCTGGCCCTGCATTGAGACGTCCACTCCAGGAGCTGCGCAAGCAAACTCGGTGAGCCAAATCTTCTTGCCGAAGCGCTTGTAGCTGTTGATGAGGTTCTGCACGCCCCCCAGGCTGCACCAGTAGCTGTGGATGGCAATAGCATCCACGCGGCACCCCTTGCAAGCATCCAGGAATTGCTGCATCCAGGCCATACCCTTGCCAATGTCACCGCACATCGCCGGGCTAACCAGCTTCTGCACGCCGAGGTTGCGAGCAACACGCTCCACCTCCGGCCACATGGCTGCCGCATGCCAGGGGTTCATGTGCGCCTGCGTGTGGATGTCAGGCTCGTTGAAGCCGAGCAAAGCCCGGAAGTTGCCACCTCCGCCCCAGCGCGGGAAGCCGCCATCATGCACCATTGGGAAGAAGTCCATGCCTGCGTGGTGCCACTGGCTGCGCGGAGATATTTGCCAGTTGTAGCCCCAGGACACACCCTGCTTCAGTGCGTGCAGCTGGTGTTCGGCCAGGTTGGCCTTTGCGATGCCTCTTTTGCTGCTCCTTGCTGCAACCAGGCAAGGAGTTAGCAGGAGCACCAGAATTCGCAGCATCTCCATTGGGTGTTGTGCTAGCGGCAAAGATGCAGGGAAGCTTTAAGAGCCTAAACGCGAGCATCATACTCATCATGCCCTCATTGGGGGAGTCGATTCTGAAACCGACTACCGCATTGTATCCGCATTCCACAAAGAACCCAACGCAAGGGACTGCAAAGTACAGGAAACCACACCAACTGCCGACTGTCTTCGATAAATGTTTGTCCCATCGGGCTGCAGTCAAGCACACGTCAGGGCAGCCAGTCCCCCCTCTCAGACGCATCCAATGCAAGCACAATGCAAGAACCAACTCAGCACTAAAATTATCTCCAAATATTGTGAGTGCTCAGACGCAAACTATTGCAATACTTAGGGCCACCGCAGCATATTTTCGCTCGAAAACAAGGCATCCATCAAGCATCCGAATTGTCCGCTCAATATGCGGTCCGCTCAATATGCGGAATGTGCAGGGCAGATTTGCAGCTGAGTGCCGCTGTGTAGTCCATCCAGAAAAAATGTGGCTTTGTACCACCACAAGGATGAACTTTGCCTTAGCTGAAGTTTATTGTCCTTCAGCTTTGAGGTATTTCCATCTCAGAGAATTGCACCTGAATCCATTAAAGATCTGATGCGCCGTGCAAGTAGCCAAAACCTGCAGCTTGAATTGCAATCTGTGATCATGCCATGATGTTCATGGGCTGACAGAATTCCGCAGCAAAGCGCACTGCTAGGCTGCTCAAAATGAGGATTTACACGAGCGGCACGACTTTCAATTGTCACTTATCACCTATTGCAAACTCTTGATACACTCAGCCGACCCGTGCCGGTTCACCAACCATCATGCGTGGCCCAGGTCATTCAAGGAGAATGAGCAAAGGCTCACGTCTGCATGGTTAGACCAACACTGGCTGTGTCTCGTTGAAGTCTGCATCAAGAGCAGCCGTCTCGTTGGTTGTGTTGCTGTCTGCCAGGCGTCGACCATTCTCACCTCACATACCCCGCCGGTGGGTATTTTCAGACTGCGGAGCGACCAATCCCCCAAACGACAAGATAGGGGGTGCCCAATCCAACTAGGACAACTTGGAGTGTGAGGGGGTCCAAGGTTGGTCCAATGAGCCGATCCAAGACGATTTGCAAATACGACTATGACATCGACTAGGACGGGTACTTCAACCCATGACCCTTCATCAGACCCCTGTTCTACACTGAAACAATAGTCAAGCCCGGCTAATGTCTGAATCAATACCTACAACGTCGCATGGCTGCCACTCGACAAAGGTTTCACATCAAATACATGCACAGTTGGCCGCACCTAGGCTGACGTAGACTCGGCCAAGCTCGGAAAGTCCACCATTCCAGTCCACCAGGCCGGCGTCCGGATTGGGATTGGTGATACCATACGACCACCTAGCCACAAACACACTGCGAGCCACTGCCTTAACATGTGTGTGAAAGCATAGCCTGGACTGTCACAGGTGTGTCATATTTGCCGCTGGGTCGCTCGTGCGTGAAGTAGCTGAACCAAGCATACTTCTCAACGACATCTTCCTGCTCCAGCCACGGAACAACCTCTTTCATGAATTTGATCTGGCCCTGCATTGAGACGTCCACTCCAGGAGCTGCGCAAGCAAACTCGGTGAGCCAAATCTTCTTGCCGAAGCGCTTGTAGCTGTTGATGAGGTTCTTCACGCCCCCCAGGCTGCACCAGTAGCTGTGGATGGCAATAGCATCCACGCGGCACCCCTTGCAAGCATCCAGGAATTGCTGCATCCAGGCCATACCCTTGCCAATGTCACCGCACATCGCCGGGCTAACCAGCTTCTGCACGCCGAGGTTGCGAGCAACACGCTCCACCTCCGGCCACATGGCTGCCGCATGCCAGGGGTTCATGTGCGCCTGCGTGTGGATGTCAGGCTCGTTGAAGCCGAGCAAAGCCCGGAAGTTGCCACCTCCGCCCCAGCGCGGGAAGCCGCCATCATGCACCATTGGGAAGAAGTCCATGCCTGCGTGGTGCCACTGGCTGCGCGGAGATATTTGCCAGTTGTAGCCCCAGGACACACCCTGCTTCAGTGCGTGCAGCTGGTGTTCGGCCAGGTTGGCCTTTGCGATGCCTCTTTTGCTGCTCCTTGCTGCAACCAGGCAAGGAGTTAGCAGGAGCACCAGAATTCGCAGCATCTCCATTGGGTGTTGTGCTAGCGGCAAAGATGCAGGGAAGCTTTAAGAGCCTAAACGCGAGCATCATACTCATCATGCCCTCATTGGGGGAGTCGATTCTGAAGCCGACTACCGCATTGTATCCGCATTCATCTTCCACAAAGAACCCAACGCAAGGGACTGCACAGTACAGGAAACCACACCAACTGCCGACTGTCTTCGATAAATGTTTGTCCCATCGGGCTGCAGTCAAGCACACGTCAGGGCAGCCAGTCGCCCCTCTCAGACGCATCCAATGCAAGCACAATGCAAGAACCAACTGTGAGTGCTCAGACGCAAACTATTGCAATACTTAGGGCCACCGCAGCATATTTTCGCTCGAAAACAAGGCATCCATCAAGCATCCGAATTGTCCGCTCAATATGCGGTCCGCTCAATATGCGGAATGTGCAGGGCAGATTTGCAGCTGAGTGCTGCTTTGTAGTCCATCTAGAAAAATGTGGCTTTGTACCTCCACAAGGATGAACTTTGCCTTAGCTGAAGTTATTGTCCTTCAGCTTTGAGGTATTTCCATCTCAGAGAATTGCACCTGAATCCATTAAAGATCTGATGCGCCGTGCAAGTAGCCAAAACCTGCAGCTTGAATTGCAATCTGTGATCATGCCATGATGTTCATGGGCTGACAGAATTCCGCAGCGAAGCGTACTGCCAGGCTGCTCAAAATGAGGATTTACACGAGCGGCACGACTTTCAATTGTCACTTATCACCTATTGCAAACTCTTGATACACTCAGCCGACCCGTGCCGGTTCACCAACCATCATGCGTGGCCCAGGTCATTCAAAGAGAATGAGCAAAGGCTCACGGCTGCATGGTTAGACCAACACTGGCTGTGTCTCGTTGAAGTCTGCATCAAGAGCAGCCGTCTCGTTGGTTGCGTTGCTGTCTGCCAGGCGTCGACCATTCTCACCTCACATACCCCTCCGGTGGGTATTTTCAGACTGCGGAGCGACCAATCCCCCAAACGACAAGATAAGGGGTGCCCAATCCAACTAGGACAACTTGGAGTGTGAGAGGGTCCAAGGTTGGTCCAATGAGCCGATCCAAGACGACCCGCAAATACGACTATGACATCGACTAGGACGGGTACTTCAACCCATGACCCTTCATCAGACCCCTGTTCTACACTGAAACAATAGTCAAGCCCGGCTAATGTCTGAAGCAATACCTACAACGTCGCATGGCTGCCACTCGACAAAGGTTTCACATCAAATACATGCACAGTTGGCCGCACCTAGGCTGACGTAGACTCGGCCAAGCTCGGAAAGTCCACCATTCCAGTCCACCAGGCCGGCGTCCGGATTGGGATTGGTGATACCATACGACCACCTAGCCACAAACACACTGCGAGCCACTGCCTTAACATGTGTGTGAAAGCATAGCCTGGACTGTCACAGGTGTGTCATATTTGCCGCTGGGTCGCTCGTGCGTGAAGTAGCTGAACCAAGCATACTTCTCAACGACATCTTCCTGCTCCAGCCACGGAACAACCTCTTTCATGAATTTGATCTGGCCCTGCATTGAGACGTCCACTCCAGGAGCTGCGCAAGCAAACTCGGTGAGCCAAATCTTCTTGCCGAAGCGCTTGTAGCTGTTGATGAGGTTCTGCACGCCCGCCAGGCTGCACCAGTAGCTGTGGATGGCAATAGCATCCACGCGGCACCCCTTGCAAGCATCCAGGAATTGCTGCATCCAGGCCATACCCTTGCCAATGTCACCGCACATCGCCGGGCTAACCAGCTTCTGCACGCCGAGGTTGCGAGCAACACGCTCCACCTCCGGCCACATGGCTGCCGCATGCCAGGGGTTCATGTGCGCCTGCGTGTGGATGTCAGGCTCGTTGAAGCCGAGCAAAGCCCGGAAGTTGCCACCTCCGCCCCAGCGCGGGAAGCCGCCATCATGCACCATTGGGAAGAAGTCCATGCCTGCGTGGTGCCAGTGGCTGCGCGGAGATATTTGCCAGTTGTAGCCCCAGGACACACCCTGCTTCAGTGCGTGCAGCTGGTGTTCGGCCAGGTTGGCCTTTGCGATGCCTCTTTTGCTGCTCCTTGCTGCAACCAGGCAAGGAGTTAGCAGGAGCACCAGAATTCGCAGCATCTCCATTGGGTGTTGTGCTAGCGGCAAAGATGCAGGGAAGCTTTAAGAGCCTAAACGCGAGCATCATACTCATCATGCCCTCATTGGGGGAGTCGATTCTGAAACCGACTACCGCATTGTATCCACTCATAGCCATTGTTAGCATGATGCATTCATGTTCCATAAAGCAACCAACGCAAGGGGCTGCAAAGTACAGGAAACCGACTGTCTTGGATAAATGTTTGTCCCATCGGGCTGCAGTCAAGCACACGTCATGGCAGCCAGTCCCCTCTCGGACGCACCAACTCAGCACTCAAACCTTTTTTAGATGCCCTCAAGCCCATCCCGCAAGAACAGCACGAGACTCTTTTTGGGAGATGGGTCTAGTCAATCCATCTCATTCAGCGATAGAACCTGGGCACATGGAAGATCCAACAATGTCAAGTAAAGAACTGCACCAGGTGCCCAGCCAAGGGGTTTGGCCTCAGTCTTCAAGAGAACTGATCAGGTCTCACTCACCAAATATATGCAGTCCCGTCAACCCCAAGACTGCCAGAGCTTTGCATCTGCAGAGGCTAAGTGAACCACACTGGCCCCACCACAGGCTCCGCACCTGGCAAAACACCGGCCAGTGGCTTTGGCTTTGCGCACGTCAGGCTGTCGCCTAACTTCCTCATGGCTTCTTCGCTGCCCTTCCGGCCCACGCCGTGCCTTGCGAACGAAGCCGGCGACTTGCACAGGTGTCACGCGACATTCCCTCCCACCAGGGTAATGGCCCTTCCAAGGGGGAAACTCATCTTCTAGGTACCCTCCCGCATGCTACGTTTGTGGGAAGGCTTCGGTTCATCTGTGGCACAAAGGTACAAATCAATGCAGGCAGGCCGCAGGTTGTCCGAAAGAAACTCCATGAAGCATCTTGACCTGAACCGCGTTTGACATTAGCCGAAGTCAGCTATGGGACAAGGCAAGCCGAAAACTATGGGTCATGTGCTTTGTAAAATGTGGAGTGCCCTCCCAAGTGGTCGGCAGTGGCTGCCTAAATCCCAAAAGAGATCATGTCCATTCGGGACCCAATCCTGTTTGTGGTGTTTTACAGGGAGGCAAACAAGGAACCGCCCAGTTGTTTGTTCACGATGTCCAGCGCAGGGTTCCCAATCAAGATGCACACCGCCACTGGACGCCCTCTCCCTTGCTCGCACAATTCACGCGCTGCAGGGGGAGGTTGTCCAGTGTATTATTTTCCACTAAGTTAGACTCACAGAAGGCACGTGTGGGAGGGTTGGAAGATCAATGTGTAGCTTTGACAGCTCGCTTGTGCCGGCTCGTGAGCGCGCGGGGCTCTCCACGGCGTGCTCCCTACTCATGAGAAAACTGCCCACGGCCTTAAACGCGCGTCACAATGACGTTTCGTGTTCGGACGGTTCGGTTCCCTTGCCCACAAACAACACTGGCGCGGGTTACATAGCACCTGCTATTGCCCCCATGAAACATGGTAAGTGGAACCGCGTGAATCCCCACCTTTAAGACGTGGGCTTCTCAACATGGTGTAAGCCCCAATGTGGTTGGTATCCAGTCTTTTCATTTCCCTTCAATCTCCAAAACAGGTACCCTCAACAAATATCAGCATAGACCTGGCCGGAATTCTTAGTCTCACCCACCCCTTCTTTACTTGAAGTTCGACCACAATAGCTCCCAGCCATCTGTGGAAAAGCATGTAAGCCCTTTTGTGGTTGGTATCCTTTTGGCCCCCCTTTCAAACCACTCCAAAACAGGTACCCTCCAAAACAACACCCCCACCAATTGATGGCCACAGGTCAAAGAAGTCTCTCTGAGCCTCAGGCTCCTCGGCGTGATGCCCGCGAAGCATCTCCCCAGCCCGGTCCTTGAAGACTCGCAGCCTGGGAACGGCACCCCGCTTCGCTGAGGCAACATCTCACTGGGGGAAGCCAGGGATGTCTAGTGGTTTCAACATGCAAAACATGCTTCAACATGTGTGTGTATGTGTGTGTGCATGTGTGTTTGTCCCTTACTCTCAAGGAGAAAGCAAATGGGAAGGAAACAAAGCCGGTTTGGAGGTCCTCCCCTTCCACGCACCCACTTGAGCAGAGTAATTTTCCCTAGGAAATCCACCTGTGGGTTTGCCCAAATGTCGCCTGCGCGTGTCAAGGCCCGGGCTGGACATTGCCCCGGGCCTGGCGCATTGATGGCCGAACATTCTGTCTTGTTTTTCCTGCTCGAAAACACACAGGGCTTCCCAAAATGGTTGAAACGTGGCTTCTGTTCTTCCTCACATATGATTACTTTGTCCAATTGTTGGAGCCATCTTCTCACAGAAAACTCCCCATTCAGCGGAGGTCCCCCGAACCTCTTTGGGGATTAACGGAATATACGTCACTCACGCCGACATGTAAAGGGTATACCTGGTTGTTTTCTGGGGGTGTTGGGGGGGAGTAGTGGAAATCAGCTCAGAGATGAAACGGCACACTTACAACGTGCGAAAGTCTATTAGAAAACCATCTTGAGAATTTAGCAATGGCTTGTTCCTCAAAATGCTGCATCAACCTCTGGCCCAGAAGGGAAATATGTCAATTATTATTTGCTATATATATAGTATGTTACTATGACACCATCCAATTGGCGGACATACATCCCCGTGTAAATGATATCCGCCAAAGGGACCCCACTCCAAGTTCATGTCCATGCGGTCTTTTTCCATTATTTATCCGCTCCGCGAACGGTTCAAACCACGCAGGTTGCGCAGCCCGCTCCAGGCTTGAGGAGTGTTGACAAATCGGTGGACACACCGTACATCGCAGTGCCAGGACCCAAGAAATACCCCTTCAAGGGGGGGAACTTCTCATTAAGGGGAATTCATGAAAAAGGGGAGAACGCATTGCTTTTAAAGGTCTGAAGCTAGCTGAGGTTACTCGAAATCCGGTTGATTTGATATTATCTCCGGGGGGACAGTGTTTTACAATGTTCAGATTCAAATTTGCAAGAATCTTGGCGGCTGTCTCTGGCTTCTTCATTGTTCTGACGTTGAAAGGCAGCTAACAAGGCTGGCGCGTTTTTTTTTGTTGCAGCGGCGTGGGAAACCAAGCGTTCTGGAGTTTTGCTGAAGGGATGGCCGTCGCGGCGACCTCGCGAGGAATGGTGTGTTGATTTCACATGGCCGAAATCCTGGAAGCAGCAGCTTGTTTTGACTGCGTCGTCTTCAAAAGGACATGGCTAGCATTGCTACGGTGAAACAACACATCCATGGAATACTTCGGCTTGAGAACAGTGCGGCTTATTACATAACTGTTCTGATCGAAGTTTTTGCTCTGAGAACAGCTACCTATCAACTCAAAGCCAATCTCAGTAAGGCAGGTGCAGATACACTTGCTTCTACTAGCTTGCTTATAAAGGTTCATTTAGGCTTTAAGCAGTGTAAACCAGTAGGAACCGAACCACCTAGCAAAATGGCCCTGTGGGGAATCAGTTCTGGGCGTGGCCTTGGAGAAGAAAGCTCGGATACGTTGGGCATTTGCTGGCCTCTTATCACACGCAATGCGGCCTTCGCTGGTTGAACAAACTATCTCCGCTTTTGATTTGTTTGCTTGATTGTTGCCTTCTCTCTATATATATATATACATGCTACTCCCCAAAAAAATGTTTTTCTTTTGTTGGTTTCAATGGTATTTGCGGGGTGTTCTGCTTTTTTGTGCTTTGGGGCAAGCAGCAGACGAAGCATCTAGTTAAACTATATTTAGAAACTGGACAAACATCCTGGGAAAGGAAGTCCAATTGAAGCTCTAATTTGCAGCAAGAATCACTACTATGTTAGGATGTGTCACTGGTAATTTCGATTTCAATTCCAATTAGAACAATGAAACTCTCAGTGATAGAAAAAGAGACCCCGTTAAAATATACTTCCAACTACAAATACTAAAAAATGGTATTTAAATGTGTGTTGACATAGAAACTCTACTAGAACTATGTCCTTATCAAAATCCACTTAAAGTCTAATCAATCAATAACAGTAGAAAACTATTGAAATTTAATGTCAAATAAGACGTAATTTTGAACATGAAAACCTGGTTTGCTTCCATGTAAAACTAGAAATCCTACTAGGAACATGTCCTTATTAATTTCAGCTTAAAATCTAGATTAAAGATGAAAACACACATCCTAGAAAAGAGACCCCCTTTAGAATCTGTTTTTGAAATAATCATGCCAATTAAACGCTTCTTAAAACACGCCGGTCTAAACTATCGTTGCAACTAAAACTCTGCTAGAAATAATTCTCTAGTAAGTCCCATGCAAAATATGATCAAAAAAACAATAATAGAAAACGGTTCAAATAGGGCTTTTATCTACAAACATTCGTTGAAAAGGAAGCCCTATTCAGATTGTCTTTGAATTGGAAATCCAATAGGATGATTTGCTTATTAATTCAAAAGAAGAAAAGGAGACCTCCTGTAAATTCTAAGTTCAAATATGCATTCCGATCAAACAAGTCTTTGAAAAGGCGATCCTATTTAAACTGTTTCAGAATTTACAGGGATTTAACGTTCTGCCTTTTTGGGCTTTGGGGAAGCAGCAAAAAAGGGCTCATTTGCAATAACAATCTGGAAGCTTCAGACACCGAAGATTTCCAGGGAATCCACCGAATCCCTGCCCGAATGGAACTTCAGTTGGCTTGGATCTACCTCGGTCCCATTTCTAAGCTGAGGTTTGGTCAGAAGATGCAAAAAAGAGGGTCAGGCCCCCAAACCGTTTGAACCCTTTAAACCGTTTAAACCCTTTCTCAGAGGAAAGGTCCCCCCCAAGAGTCAGGGGTCCAAACCGTTTGAACCGTTCAAAGCGTTTACATCCTTTCTCAGAGGAAAGACCTAAACCCTTTCTCAAAGGAAAGGCCCTCGCCCCCCCCCCCTTCCAGGGATTGTACCTGAGAGAGGGAAATGGTTCAATCGGTTTTGGGCCCAGACCTTTCCTCTGAGAGAAGGTTTACACAGTTCAAACGGTTTCGGGCCCTGACCTTTCCTGTGAGAAAGGGTTCAAACGGCTGGAGTTGGAGAGTGTTTTTCCGTTTGAAGAGTCAGATGTAGTTGGCATAACAAATGAAGACCGAACAAAAGGTCGACATTTGGCGGCGGGGTACCATTATATATATATATAGATTACTTTCTCTCTCTCTCTCTCTTTCTCTCTCTGTCTTAATGCAGCTGGCACAGGGCGAAGCCCTTCAATAACATGGAGAATGGTCAGGCAGGTTGCAAACATTCGAATAGGGAGCCCACATATTGCCTCTCTGAAGCGCGGAAAGTCGAGCCTGGCGAAGGTATTGCGCTGAAGCCTCTGCAGCTTTGACGCTGATGCTCCTGGAAAATCTGCAGATCTACACTGATCTCTGTGGACGTACTCCGTTCTGCCTGTCTCGGGCGCCGTTGATGAGCAAGACGGCTGCGTCCTGTCCTGCCAAAAATGAACCAGGGTTGATAAGTTGATCAGTCATGTGCTGCCAAGTGTGCGAGTGCGTCCTGCAACTGGCTTTTTGGCAAGCAGCCTTTCAGGCATCACTTCACTGGCCACCTCAACGAGTGAATCGTCACCGGTGAGTCTGCTCCCTTTTGTCACTTTGAGGCAGGCTTGGGCGAAGTGTGTAACAACCAGACGCCGACCTTTAGCGGGGAACCAAAATGGAGGTTGCTTCAACAACAGGTGCTTCAACATCTTTAGTTGGTCTGAGGACATGACAGCGATGACTGCAGCGAGTGACTGTCCAGGCAGTGCTTGAGGTGACCTCACTTCAAATTTGGAGGCGGCTAATACACCACTTGCAAGCCTGAGTCAGCAGCCCGAGCACCATGTCCAAAGCGACCGTGCCTTTCCGAACTTGTGCCGCAGCTTGCGGCCGAAAACGAATCTCAAAGTCTTCAGTCAGCTCAAAAGCTTTTCCTAGCAAAACTTTGCCCCTAAATCCTGAGTGCAACTGTTACAACCTCCACTTGCCTCCTTGACCAAAGCCAAAGAGCAAGAGCTCATTGAGAGTCCAACCTGGCAGCCGGTCATCCAGTCTTGGCCGAGTGCGGAAATTGTGAACATCAGTCTCCGACTGCCATAGGAGATGAGCACGTGCACCATCTGCCAAAGTAGAGCTACACCTTGAAAAGTGCGATCAAAACAAGTTGTGCCAAAGTGCCACTTGCACGCAGCTAAACTGGGCATATGCCATACAAACATCCAAGCTGCAAACTTGCCTCCAGAGATCGCACACGCCGAGGCTCCTACAACTACAATCCTACAACCAAGGCAGATTTGCCTTTGCCTCACAGCACTCCTCTCGAGATGGCTGGATGAAATCCTCGCAAATTCGGTCATGAGATCCACAAGATCCAAGTCATGCAGCCAGGTGACACCGGTCTCTTCATCAAGCATGTCGAACCAACTGCCAGCAAGGAGCTTCCCCCAATGAGTTCACCTCAACCGAAAGCGTGTCTATCGCACCTGAAGCCCGGAGGATGATCAAGAAGTTCATCTGGCAGCGCCTTGGGAATTGACGTGGCTGTTCTTTTTGAGGGTGCCTTACTTTGTGTTGGGTTTCTAAAGGAAACCCAAAAGAAAAACATACCTTCGTTTTTCTCGGGGGGGGAGTCCTAAAAAAGACACACCAAAAAGACACACCCACATGGGTGTGTCTTTTCTTCCTCATGGCCTGAGGGCCATTCAGCACCAGCACGGCGGTCTGCGGAAGCTGCAGCTTCCGCGCAAAGGTCGTGAAGGCTGCCTGGGGCACGTGGGGGCTCGTCCTTTTTTGGGCTTCGGGACCCCCCAAAATGGCTTCGGGGTTCCGGATTCTCCCCTTAAACAACAACAAGAAAGAGGGTACCTTCAAGAAAGACACACATTCACATGCGGATGTTTTTTTGAGGGTACCCAGGTTTTAATAGGAACCAACAGGAAGCCAGCCAGCTTGGGGGAGCCCTATGTACCCTAGATTGAGACAAACCAAAATCTGCGCAATCTAAGCATTGCTAGCCTCACATAGGGTACAGCTAAGCGATATGCGCGCAGCACACAAAGCCATACACAAAAGCACGCAGACACGCATGAGCCCTTGTATCCCAAAAAGGACATAGGAAAATTGCGTGCCCCGGTTTCTTGGGTGGCGTCCTCCCCAAACTAAAGAGAAGCCACCCTCAAGTAATAATCCCACCCCAAAAGAAACAAATATGGTTGGTTTACCTGGAGGACTTAAGGTATCCACCCAAACTTCAGCCACCAAAAGCAGGACCCCACCCAATTTCCGCATGTACGTTGGGTGCACCTTGTTGCCCCCGAAGCCGTGCAGGACGATGAGCAGATTTCGCTCCTCGCAGAGCAGAAGAGCACTGAGCCGGTTGCTCGAAAGGACGAACAAAGAAGCTGCCGAGGCACCAAGCCAGCGCCAGGGCTCAAGCCTAGGTTTGAACATGGTGCCAAAGTGGGGGAAGGGGCATTTTCCTGGTGTTTTCAAAGAACCTTGTTTTGTAAAAAAAAAAAAAAGCCTCCACACACTCATATCGGTGCCGCAACCCTAGAATGGGCGGGTTGCCTTTGGATTCCGCGGATTTTTCTTAAAACAAGCCTCACCAAGAAGGGAATGGCGTTGTGCCTAGGTTCGGCGGGCATGTTAAATCCATCGCAAATGCCTCAAGACTTCAAGACTGTGTAATTTATTCCCGGTGTCAACGTTGTTTATACAGGTATGTACATATATGTACCTGGAGCCTCAAACGACAATAGTTTTTTGGGGTGGTTTGAACCCTTTGACTATAAACCACATAAAAAAAATGGAAAACACTTAAAACGACTAAAACGATAAGAAATCACAGAAAGCAGCGGGATCGGGCCGTATAAGCGGCCAATGCAACTTTGAGACACATGTAGCACTGGTGCAGCCACCGATACCGTTGGGATTTCAAGGAAGCTTGAAGAGCATGTCGTCATTCACTGTGATGCCAAGTGATACCGCCCGAGCTCACGAAGCCTTTCACATCCTTTTACAAGCAAATTGAAGCGCAATGGCTCCGATTTGGTGTTGTCGTTCTAGCTTAGTTAACCTGCTTCAGCTGACACCCGCCTTCATTCCTGATTGCCCAGTTGGGGCTCAAGTGGTGCAAGTTTGGAAGCTTTTGGGGGTGTCCCTGGTGATTTTCCAAATTTTGCTCGCCACAAATTACGCACAAAACGCCCGCAAAAATCCGCACAACGCCAGCAAAAGCCCGAAAACGTCCGCAAATCCCCAAAACTTGTAGTGTCTGCTGTTTTGGAAACACGGAGATACAGGGAGTTGGGGGAAAAATCTTGGCCGAGGGGAGGGGCACTTCGAGCCTGCGCACGCTTGCAAGCGCTTGTGCGCAACGCGACTGGGACAAAGACCCAGTGAGTACTGGCACTGTTTCTGTGCGGTGCTTGTGTGTGTGTGTGTGTGTGCGCCAGCTTGCGGCCTCGAGGTGGGACCAGGGCACAGGGACCCGTTTATCACAATTACACCAAAGGAAAGCTTTGTTGACTTCGTGTATATGTTCGGCGAAAGCTCCGCGACGCAAATGCACGGTGTCCACCAAAAGCGACGCATTTCCATCGGAAATGCCTAATTCGCCAAAGAAATCGGGAAAACACCTTAAAAAAACAAATTCGCCAAGAAATGTCTTGCTGTTCGAGGGTCCAGGTATGTTCAAAACGAACATTCAAGTATGTATGTGTAAAAGCATTTAAGTATGTATGTGTACATGCATAGATATATATATATATATATATATATATATATATATCTACATATACAAAATAGAACCTTCGGGCAATGGACATGTGCGTCTTCAATGGAAATGTGCGTCTTTAAAAAAAAATGACCAAAATATCAAGGGGCAGCTGACCCACAAAAGGCGTAGAGGATTCACCTGCTTCCAAAACTGTTGGGGTGGGTTGGCAGTGAATTTATTGGGCAAGTTGGTTTAGGGTGGGGGTAGAGAGATTTCTGGTGGTCTAGGTAAGGTTTGCGGGTGAGTTTGGGGTGGCTTTAGGGTGGCTTGAGGAAGGGTTGTGCGTAGGTCAAGGTTGGGTTTTGGGGTGGGTTTCGTGTTGGTGCTACTATGGGCGTTGGTACGCTTGTGGACGTGTTGGGTCGGGTTTTGGGCCGAGCAAATTTCAGGGTAGCTCTTGGGGTAGTTTTCCGGGAGAAAAAAAAAGTGCGCCCTTTTCCCCCTCAAAGAGGGTACCCTCAACAAAGCAGCCAAACGGGTGTGTCTTAAAATACGGACCACCCCCAAACAAAACATGGTTGGTTTTCCTTTGGTTTCCCTTTGAACCATCTCCAAAAACACCAAACAAAGACACATCCATATCCTGCAGCAGCGGCCTTCGGCATCTGCAGGCTGCGAAGCTGACCCCTGAGGCCCAACTGCTGCGGGAAACTCAAAACCAAAGCCCCCGCAGAACAAACCCGGCCTCTCGTATGGTGTGGATGTAGTCGAAATCTTGCAGACCTCACATCGAACTTCAGGCATCGCACATCTGTCTCGAAAGGGACCCGCCAAAATGGGGGGCTTCCTTTTGGAATCCCCACACCAGCCCAAAAAGGTTACCATGAAAACAACGAGCCACACCCACAACGCACAAAGAACGAGCACTGGTGCCTGGCGGGAGCAGCCACTTTGGCGGCTTCAGTCGAACCTTTGCGGGCACTTGCTGAGATATTCGGAAGGCAAGGTGGGTGTGGCTCGTCGGTAGTTTTAAGGGAAACCCAAAAAGGAAAACCAAAGCCAGTTTTGGGGTCCCCTAAAAAAAGACACACCCAGGTGCCGTAGACATCATGTAAGCTCGGTGCTCCTGATGCTTTGGCAGCTGCAAGAAGCTCGTTTTCTGCCCGCTGCAATGCCTGGATCTCACGGAAAGCCCAATGATTACAGACAACTCGTTGCAGTTGGGACAACTCCTGAAGACTTCTGTTGTCCCAACTCCCAACTTTGCCACGTGAAGCATCTACGAGCATGCACCAGCCTCCCTTTGTGGGGCTCTCTCGCCTAGGTCCGGGTCGCAGCCTGGATGTACCCCGATTGAAATGCCAATGGGAGCTCGGGGTCTTGGAAGGTGTCCCATAGAGAAAATCCGGACTGGGAGAAGCCCCCGTAATCACCAAGGCTCGAAACCCACGAGTATTTGGGCTCTCAAAACACCAGATGGTAATTCGGTGTCCCTTTGACTTTCCTTCTAAACCAATCCCAAAAAGACGAACTCCCCCCCAAAACATGGGGAGCCACCCATTGACCCTCGGCTTCCAAGCGAACAAACTGGAGATGATCTTGGGCACTGAGTATCCTCCACGCACCTCACGGGCGAACCGCGACTGGCTGCGTCGAAGATCCCGATGCTAAGCCCTCGGCGCTCTTGGGAGGTCTCCTTCGAATGACAAATCAATGGTTTCTTCTACCCCAGGATGAATGAAAGTTTCGCTCATTCCTTTCCACGCCTCTGTGCAGCTGCGAAGCAATGATCCCGCCTCACAGATGTGGCTTAGCAGTTTCCGTGCTATCACGATCTCTGTGGATTTGGCGAAAGAAAAATGCCTGCCGATCAGCGTGTTTTGACCAGCACATCGAATCCAAGGCTCTTTGGCCTTGAAAGGAAAAGCTCCAGGAAATGCTTTCCAAGGACGCGCTGTCTGAGCTTGGCGTCATCTTCAGGGGAAGCCGCGCCGCATGTTGCGTTCTTCGACATCCCGGCAGGCTTCACGCTCCCTTCGCAGTCTTAGAGTTCATAGCGACCTGAACTGGGGCTCCGATATTTTCCACCTGAACCACCCTAAAATCATGGTGGTGTCCATTTGGCCTGCAGCTCATGCAAATCATACACCCCAAAAACTCCCGTGAACTGTTTTCCCCCCAAGGCCTGGCTTTTCCCACGACACGAACTGCCTTAAATCAACAGCCAAGCGACCGACTCAGCTGGATTTGACCTCTTTCTTGTAGAGCAGCGTGGAGAGATCGTCGATCTCCGTGGAGGGCGTGCCAGCTTTCAGGTGCGTCAGGATCAGGATGAGGTCAGTGCCATGACCTCTAAACCGAAAACTGGGAGAACTCCAGCTGGGGTTCGGGGGGCGGAACGTCCAGGACCCACGGCCCCATTTAATCAACTCTTCCAAAAACATCCCGGCCCCAAGTCCATGTTTGAGAGGGAGATGATATGATCACCCTTGCCCCACATGTATCATAATGCTGAGCCCTGATTAATAAACTCCCCACTGGTGCTGAACCCTTTCTTCCAGGGGGACTTCATTGATTCAGAACTGGGGTGCTTAACTTTTTCAGGGGTCGACATTACATGCATTACCCCCCCCCCCTCGCCCCCAACCCCCGTTTTTTTGACGCCCCCGTGGTCGAGCCAATGAACATACTGTAGATCCTGAGCCCGGCACCGGGCAGCGCCTGCATGAAGACGTCTCCCCCAAAGTACTGGGCATGCAGGCCTCCGCGAAAAAAAGGAGCAGGTCCGTTGGGAACAGAGCGCTTTAGGTGGCTGCTTTCTGTTGGTTCTAAGTGGGTCGAAAACAAAAAACAAATGGCTGTCGTCAAAAATAGGTACCCAATTTGGTTTGTTGGTTCTGAGTGCTGGGGCAAACACAGAGCGGCAACCCCGCCCCCCCCGAACAATTTCAGGTTACCCTTTATTGGTGGTTCAGATTGCTTTTTTTGCTTTTAGTTACAAGTGCTGGTGGGGATTTGGATTTGAACCACTGGTTCTTGTGGAGGGTGGAGTTTTCCACCCCCACCAATTAGGGACAAGCTGAAACATGAAGTTATCCAAGGGATCATGTTTCACTCATCCGCAGGGGGGTGTCATTCCCAATTCGAGCCCTTGAGCTTGGCTCCAATTGCAGCTGTGTGACGAGTGAGCGGAAGTCCGAATCCATAGCCAGCAAGCTCGCTTCTCCTCAGTCGCAAACTGCGCAAACCGCACAACCCAACAAAAATAAAATGGATCCGAGACTTTTGCAGCGGCTTGCTAGGGTCTCCGTGGCCTCGATCCCGGTCCCAGCCTCAGGCAAGGAAAGCAGCTTTTGAGCAGCAAGACCCAAAGAATCCCAAAAGGGCACTTCATTGTCGGCGCCAGGGACTTGCATTTTGATTGGTTGGAAACCACCCCCCACCCTTGCTGGGAGTTTGCCCAATTGAAGCCAAGCAGCTGCAAGACTCCTCTGCATCCTCTGCGTATTGCCAGGCTTCTCGATAGGATCTGTCCGTATTCACCGTTGTCCAACCGTACTTCCAAGCCTGCGGCACCAACCATGCTAGATTTGTGAAATCCCGCATGGGAGAACATCGCTTTTGTCTGGCTCTGGGTCAGCAATAGGTATCCAAATTGGAACCCTGGTAAACCTGGTGGCTAGTTGTTGCAAATCTCGTTCAACAGGTGGAAATCTTAGACATTACACCGGGCCTCGCGCTGCATACGCTTTGGCATTCCGCCGCCCTGGTCAGAGATCTTGAAGATTACGTGAATGTCCTGGGCAAACGAAAGAAACTATGGGGCATGTCATTTTTGCGGGGCCCCAAAAGTGGGGCTTGTCCTTTTGGTTGTCCTTTAACACCACAAACAATGGGGTGCCCTCAAAAAAGAACACGCCCATGAGTCCATGGAGTTCATGACGTTTTTCTTGCTGGAACACCCACTCAACATAGCGGTGACCTAAATTCCCATGCCAATGCTGCCTCCAGCGGACAACTAAAAATGAAAACTCGTAAACATGTGGCTGTCACCCAAAACCCAGGCGGCTGGGTCAAGAATTGACACGCCCGCAAGAGCCCCAACCAGTGTGAATTGGAGCATGACGGCACTGTCCAGGAAAACACTGTACTCATGGGGTCTGGCGCAAGATCTCTTTGCGGGATCTCCAACAAGGATGAATGTACAATGTCTCTGGGAAGGATCTCAGCAGTAGGTTGTCCACTGGATTTGTTTGCACTATGCAAGGTCCGTGGAAAGACCTTGTACAAGATCTCGTGCTGGAAGATCATGCACAACAGCTCCGACAATGAATCCGCTTCGAAGGTCTTGTAAAAGATATCTTGAAGATTTTGCTTGCAAGGTCGTGCGCAAGATCTCTTTCGGCGGATCTTTACAAAGGATCCCTCTACTGTTGGTTTAGTTTGGTGACTTGGTGGCTAGGGGGTGATTTCCTATTTACCCTCTGCAAGAACCAGGGCTTCATATCCAAAGCCAAACCAATAAAAGCCAACCAAGGACCAAAATATGACTTTGTTTTCGGCGCCCTAAACCGGTGCCCCAACCTGTGGGTCCATAGTTTTACCCCTCATTCGTGCAGATGCGAAGCCGAGCCGCCCCCTGCTGCAGCTCCACGGCGACGTGGGGCAAAGGATCCGAAACGGTGCTCCTCACGACTTGGCAACGGCTGGGAATCAAAGCTTCGGTCAAGGTCACTAGATTCTCCACGACCACAACATCGGACCCTGGAATTTCCAGGTCCACTCCAGAACCGCATATGGCTCAAACGTAAATAGCCTGGCTCCTGGACAAATGCCTTTCCACAGTCGATCTGAAGGCATTCTTCAGCAACTCCCTGGAGACAGAGTCGCTGAAACGTTCTGGCACTCGTCTCGCAAATACTACGGCCTCACCATGTACTTCACATGCCGGGGGATGTAGTCCAGAACGCAGTCTGGGTTTCCACCTTGATCGGATGGCGGTCGAGATCCGAACTTGCGTACAAATTAGAGTCTTTTTGTTGAGGGTCCCCTTGTTGGATGCTTTTAGAGGGGAAAACAGGAAAACCGAAG